GTAGCCAAGTGTCGATTACACGCACGGTGGATATAAATAAACCGGCGCGGAAATTAGTCTACGAAACGGGGTTTTTTTTTTCTTCACATAGTCCGCCAGCGTGACTCTCGAAATTGACGGTATTCAATTTAAACCTGAGGCGTCGTCGAAAGAGGTGAAGGTCTCTTCGTCGTCGCGCAAGTGTCGCCTGCCGCGATTTAATGTCATCATTGAACGGTCGCTTCCCGTTATTGCGGCTAATTGCGATGAATTACGCCCCGCGGCTGCCGTAATCGGAGAACTGTTTCTTCGTAATGGCTGTTAGGATTGCGATCGTTTCTCATGGTGCTCGTGGTCGAGAATTACACTCGTATAACTATCGTCCACTACTGAAATTTTAAAATATTTAAGCTGTAGAAATTTGACGATGTAATTTAACTCGTTAAATTTTTATTATCTGATTCCAGAAATTAAATTATTGACTCTATTTAATTTAAATATAACACTAATACTTTCCTTTCGATTCGTGAATTAACTTTTTCTTGCGAATTCATTACGTAAATTATATATTGTTATTTCCCTTCGCATTCATAAACTTTATTCAATTTTAGATATGTATATTCATTCTGAAATATAATATAAAAGTTTTATTCTCTTTACAAGTCAAGAAACATCAAAGTAATACAAAAAGTCTGAGAACAATTTATTATTAGTTCGTGGAATTATTCATCGCGTAAATTTTGTTTCTTATCGAGTTAGTTTTCAGAGATTTTCAAGCGTCTAAATCCAAATGAATCAACACGTCAGTTATTACATTAATTCAACTTTTTCTCTTTGTATCTACATTATCAGAATTTTGATCCGAGTAATAATTAGTTGTTGGACAACGTTAGTTAATCAAGACCGTGCGCTTTCTCTAGCAATCGATAAAACGCAACAATAACATAGGCACTCTTTTGAAACTATAAGCCTGTGCTCGTGCTGTTTCTGCACGTGATTAACAGGCGCGTTATCCACGGGTGAACGAGGTGTTACAACTCATATAATACTCTTCTACGCTCCTCGGATAAACGGGACGAGGGGCCCATTGACTTCGTTCATTGATTTTACGTCAATCTGTAGAGAGCACCCTTACGAGAGTCTCCGTGATGCGTTTACCATAAGCGATAAGGGCGGCGCGCGGAAAGAGGGCCGCACGTAGGGTCGTCCGCTCGGCACACCCCATGAAAGGGAAATAGAATAGAAATGACCCCCCACGGGAGTCGCATTAGGGACACATGGCTAGGCGACAAAGCCCGATTCCCTTCCAACCCTCTAGGATCTTAGGCATATATACGGTTACATAACGTTACGTGCTCGCTACCCCTCGGATCGCTCGGGGGTTGGTACGAGGGTTGGAATGTACACTCTCTCTGTACCACCCTTCGGCGATGGAAACGCCATTTTGTAAGCGGAGGACGATTGGACATATTTTTCTCTTTGAATTTTGTTCACTTTTGATGTATCATTCTGTAACAAAGAAATATATTGAAAAAGCTGCTTAATTATTTTCGAAATAATATAATGCTACGCAAATAGATTTTTGCGTAATTTAATTTCGCACATGTTACGTTTTATTTCTGATTATTCTTAGAACGTGGATACCTTACACTTGTGTGAAATCGATTTTTTATATCGATTAATATTCAATTTGTCAAACGTAAATATATCTGATAAATTGCAATTTGAATACGATTTTTGTTATCTTTATATCGTGTAATTCATCTCTAGCGTCTCACATAATTTTGAGAATATTATTTTCTCGCGCGATATTTGACACTTCAGGATCTTGTTTGTATTTCATTTCTACGTCATCTACGTCATTATAATAAAAGCTGATTGCCGAATAATTGACTTGTTATTTCATGCGCGCTTCGATTCGTGTTAATACCTTTCTTCGTGTAGGAGCACAAAGAGGATCTACAGCAGCGAAGTGGCAAAACGAGAGGATCAGCCAGCGATGTCACAAATGGATTCGACCAGGCGTGCCCCGGTAAAACCGGAGGATCTGTAGATCCGTATCGGGACATTCTGTGGACACCTGTTGTGTTGTGTCATCAAACGTGCAGTTCTCTAGCTTTGCGTTATCGCGCGGTTGAGTGAGTTCTCGTGTAAAGCCGAGACATCGGAGGCAGCCGCGAGCGCGAACCGGAGAACGGGGAGGAAAAGGGGAACTTGCGAGAGAGGAGACAAAGGTTAATTTGGTACGAGCTGTAATCCGTCTCATCCGTCGGATGGAGTTCCAGGACCCACGAACACGGTGACAGCGGTCCGGATTATTGCCTCGCACCATCGAGGATTATATCGAGCGCGAAAAAAGATTAATCGGCGTTTCCACTCGACCAAAAGCCCGTGCGTACTTTTAATGAAGCCGGGAGGGCACGTAAGCCAGTTGGGGGAGGGGGAACTGGAGCACCGTGGTTGCGTAATTGAACGAATAATCATCTAAGCGCGACGATCAAATCGACGGCGCTGCTTATTAATTACCGTTGCTATCACGCCATCAACTTTCATCGCGACATCTTGTTTTGATTAAATTGAAGAAACGCTTTAATTAATTGTTTTAATCGTATATAATTATGTAAATATTATATGCAATATTTTAGATGAAACATTGTCAACATTTTATCTGCCTCTAGCATTTTTTTTTTTTTTTCAAAAATATAGTTAAAACGAGGTGCACGATTTTATGATAATCAGTCGCTCTAATGCTTAGGACAATTTTAGCAGTTTCTGGAATTTTATTCGTTAAATGCTGCCCACGCTGCTGCGCTGTTAAGTAGAAATTCGGAAAATGGCCACCTTCCGCAGGACCTTAATTAACGTGCCGCCTCTCGAATCTCGCCCGAGCCGCGGGATCGAGACGTGCCTGGGATCGCGATGTTATTTCCATTGTTCGCCAACGTTGGCATTACGATACGGCTGTAACCATCGTGGGAAGTCGAGCCGGCGCGGCGCGGTACGTCTCGTCGTTAATGTAATGGCGAAAATGGCGAAACGGCCCCGATATCACGTAGAGGTAATTCGGCACGCGTACGCTCGTCTATCAAATTGATTTCCACGCCCCGCGTCCCCTTACGTTCATTTCGCCGCGTTTGCCGGACGACGACTATGTCGCAGCTGTTTTGCATACGGATTTCGCGAACGCAGGAATTATTCTACGATTACCCACGCGCAGAGTCCCTTATCGCCTTATCTTTCGCTCGTGAGGAAATCACGATAAAATTAGATTTAATTTAAATAATTGATCGTACGCGCGCGACCGTGAAAAAAATGATATCTTGCGGAGGATTGTTATAAGTATATGTCTGGGAATGTTAAGTATTAGGATTGTTATAAGTATATGTCTGAGAATGTTGAGTGCTAGGAATAATGTTGACTACAAAGAAGAAGGTCCTATGAAAACACGATCCTTGCGGGACTTAATCTGCCGGATCTATTTCCAGAAATTCTTACTGGAAATGGATTTTTCCGATTTCCTGCGAATGAGAACAAGCTTACGCAGGCTTACTCAGGTAGTTCTCGCTCGTGCTATTTGAGAATACTCAAATATCACAAGACAAACGCTACGATAATATTTTTCAAATTGGAATGCGAACGTTTCTGGTTTCCAGTGAAATCGAGAGTTCTTTCAGAGAACTATCAATTATACAAATATGACATTTGATTTAATATCTGACCGAATAAAATAGTAACGATTAATTTTTATATAATAAAAATTGCATATACATGACGTAAATAATTACTATTATCGCTGTAATAATTCAGATAATTTTTGTCTATGTAAATTTTGAAGTAAACCACACCAAACTATGATGCTAAAATAAACTTCATCTATTGACTAATTCCATGTTCAATCTTTCAAATGAATCAAGTGCGCAAATATTCTGTCTCTATCAACGCGAATGCGCGAAATTTGCTTATTCGATATAAAATCTGATCAATAACCAACAACGTACAAGGAAAATAAAAAAAATATTCTCAGCAAATGTCGAAGGACTTTCACGTCTCGATGGATAAAATATTATATCAGAATGTACGTCAAAGTGGGCGTTTTTTTGGCGCATTGCCGCCGAAATCGAGAGTTGAAAAATGGGGGAATACAGACAGGACGTGACGAGACGCTTTTGAAACGCTCGAAAATAAAGATCGGAGAGCGCACGAGGTTGCAACCGTCGCTCCATTTCGTCGCTCCGGTCTCTGGAGCCCGTCCCTAATTGACTCGCGCCGGCACCCAATCGGGCCGTAAATTATAGGTCTCGAGGAAAAGAACGATTATCGGCTAAATAAGAGAGACTACAAACAAACAGAATAAGCGCGCTGACTACGAGGAAACGGCGGTAAAAAGTGCCGTTCCGGTAAGTCCAACGGAGTGACCTATCCACATTGACCGTATAAGAACGTATTTTAATGTGTTGACGATATCTGTCATGTGTGTCCAGTTTACACGAGACAGCTTAAGTAGAAAATTGCTTGCTTTTCATCATAGTTAAATATTGAAGTAAGTATTCAAGATTCTTCAAGCTGTAGGCACATGCTAAATAAAAAATCGTAGTTTAATTCACATTCACACGGATTACCATAAGAATATATGACTATTGATGCGGTCACACGTATTTTTTTACGTCTGACTACCTGAACGTGCATATTTTCTCAAATATTTCATCTGCAAAAATTTACAAAGATGTCCAAAATTATTTAGGCCGGACCAGATATTTTAATATATTTAATATATTAAATCTATTTGTTTGACTTGATCCTTTCTGTGTAATATATTTCCTTCCTTTATCTCTTTCTCTTTCTCTAATATTCCAATGAATACATACATCCATTTTATTTCAAAAAATTCTGCGAAGTGCAAAGCACACGAGCAAATCTAAACATGCGTGTGTTGTGATCGACTGGAAACAAACTGCATGCGAAAAATGCAATTACAATTTAAGGAGATAAGCATATCTATTAATGAACACACATGTACTCACACAATCGGAGCAGCGAGACGTGAGACGACGCCAATTTGCATGCATGTACGTGCGATATTTACATAATCTCGAAGGCGGCTCCTGGTCACAGTTGTTCGGAACTTCGAGATACCAGCGATATCTGAGCGTCGCACGAAACCCACTAGATATACACGGGTACGTTTAAGTAGATCGAAATCTTATCGCTGGCCACGATCGGTAGTGGCGCTCGGGTCACGCTCAAGTGGACCGTCTAATTTATCGAGCGCGACGGCGCGATAATAACGGCTGCCATGCTGTGAAAAGCATAGACATAATAAGATATAGATTGCGAGTTGCGATCGAAAAAAGAGCATACTCTTTTTTTTCTAGTGTGCAAATCAAAAAGACACTGCAATGTTGCGCTCTCTCTCTCTCTCTCATATCGCCAACTCCAATTTAGAACTAATTGTAAGATAGAGGGGAAAAAGCGCGCAATCTATACTTATTACGTCTATGGTGAGCAGGGCGATGACGATAATTGGAGCTTTCCAACAAGAAAACAAAGATAGACACAAAGTCACGCAATTGGCTATCGAATATAGAGAATTTTGAAGACGCTAAATTTTTTTTTACTCGATAGCCAATCGTTGTATCTATGCACATTTCTTACTGGAAAGCTCCCGAATGATAATAAAGCAGAGAGAGAGAGAGAGAGAGAGAGAGGCCACTTCACGCGACTCGAAATCATCGTGCGGTGTGAAGGCCTACTTAGCATTCGGTGTCACGTAGAGCCCGCGTTTTAATACATCAAAAACTCGGGAGCCCTCTCGTCTCTTGCCCCTCGATTGTCAGGGTATCCGAGCGACGATCCTCCTTGCCGAGTGCACGACACCCCTAGGGGCTCTCTCTTCCCGCGGCATTCATTTGTTCGGTCTCGCGAGAACTCGCTCTCCCAGAGAGAAAGAGAGAGACAGAGAGAGAATATGCGAGAGAGGAGAGAAAAAGCGCTGCGTACCTTTTGTTTTGCCGGGAGCGAGCTCCGATTGGCGCGTTCGTTCGGTCGCGCCGGCCATGGCAGCCTTTTCCCGGGCTAGGGATATCGGGCCAATAGCCTACTCGAGGGCGTTCCTGGGCGGGCATTGCTACGCGTCCCGCATCCGACTCTTCGTTGTCATTATTATTATTATTATCATCGCAGCCGGCGATGTATACCTTTATGAGCTTCCGGCCGTGTCCGCAATGTTGGTAAGAACGACGCGTTTCCGAGAAATCGCGTCTAGGTTCGTTCGTTTTGCACCAGATGGCCCCAGATGTATGGTTCCTCTAGAGTCCCTCTATATTCTAGGGACTTTAGGTTCCTCGACAAAAAGTTTTGGTTTTATGTATACAAATAATTTAAATTGAATAATTAATAAACAAGGAAAATTATATTAAATAATAAATAAATAAATAAATATGATTTATACATTTTTTATCCATATGTGGTAAGTATTGTTTAATATTAAAAACAAGTGTATGATTTATCTATGTATATCGTATCTTAATCTAAAATTACATTCAAGGAAAGATATCGAAATTCACTTAATTAAGTTCGATCAGATTACATATTAAAAATTAAAGATTAAAGATTAAAATTTGACTAATCGAAATAGGAGCTAAAATTTCTTTGTTGCGATCGATTAAATTTCAATCCTCAATCTCAATCTTCAATGTGCAATTTGATACCAGTTTTAGTGGAACGGAACTGAACTAAAAAAGTACAGTGAGTCGTTCGCATATCAATTCCGTGTTTCATGATCAACAATCGGCGCGAGTCAAGTAGTCGTTTCGCTCGTAAAAATGTTATTAAATTTCGTGAAAAGTATCCCCGCGAAAGTGTTTGCCGAGTGGATTTCGCAAAGATTGAACAGTGTCGAGCTTCTTATATATTTATGCTAATTCGTTCCTCTCAATGGATCACTGATCGATTTCTGTTACTTATAAACGAATCGTATCTTGAATTGCTTCAAATTACTCCGGATGGCAAAAACTGATCAGTCTACGAAATTGCTTATTTTATTGCTTATTTTATTGCAATCTCATTATTTCGTGAAATTACGATCAGTGACGAAGGAAAAAATGATTATATTACATTAGTGTGAGTGTGCCATATTCGCCTCCGTCATGAACTTGGAGCGGAAAATCGGAATGTGAAATTGGCCGCGAGTCCGCGTCCCTAGTGATGATGTCCCCGCATGACGAAATCACGTAACGATCGGAGGTGAGTGGAGTCGCCGTTTCGCTCGTGAAAAATTGTCGAAAATCGCGGCTCGCCGAGAGCATCGTCCGGAAATAATCGTCGAACGGATTCCGCGAAGATCGAGTGTGCGTCGGGCTCGTAATTTCGGCGTCGCTGATCGGCTAATTCACTCGCATCGCGATGAATTACGGATCGTTCCATTTCGGTTACCTGTGACGTCACGCGCGTGAGATGCAACTGTGCTTCCAACTCTATATTATTAATGTTTCCCTTATCTGTTTCTTCCTAATTATCAAATCTTGTGTCCGATAATTTCTGCAACGATCGACGGATGAATGATTCATCGGCCGATGAAAGAAGCTCCGACGACAATTGCGGTCCATTATTTGGTAAGTCTGCTTTGCCATTTGACTATGCGATTCCTCGAAAAGGTTGTCTTGTTAATTCAAGCGAGAGGGTTCTCAACTGACGATTTTGAAGATATGATTTTTTAATCATAAAATAGTATTGGATTGCAAAATGCCTACATTTTTTATACTTGTCAATAAATTTTATCTAAAAATATATGTAATATTTTCCATTTTCTTTTTTTTGAAAATAATTTAAAAAGACTCTTGGCGTTTAAAAATATTTATCTATAAATATTCTCAGACATTACACGTATCCAAAAGACGTCTTTGGTCTTTTTGTGCTGCCTGGATTATTATTAAATATAAATTATAAATTAACATTATATGTAAATTATTATTAAAACCTGATTAAATATATAAATTATTAAATTTTATAATAATAAATTGTATAATAAGTACATTATTAAATTAAAGAAATATTCCAAATTTCGTAAATGTTACTTATTTTAATATTATTCAAAATTGTCCGTGCCCAAAATAACTTTTTTCTTCACTATTTTCGAGTAAAATCGATAAAAAATAAGCTATCATGTATATTTTCCAAAATGTATATGTTAATTTCTCAGATCGAACACAATCTCAGATTGAACATAAAATTATTTGGGTACTTTTACAAAGCGTAAAGTTACGAGAAAGTCATGCTGAGACATACTTCGATATAATTCATCCTGCTAAAGGTTAAAGGTTTTAATATCCTCGGTTGGACACCCACTTGGCAGCGATAATTTAAATTAATCAGAGCAAATTTGTGTACGTGTGTGTGTGAACTCTTGTCGCTTGTCGAAACAATGAAAATATACCGATTTCGAGCATCGATGATCGATTATAGTCTTTTTGAAATTAATTTTTATAAGTAATGAAAAATGAAAATATACAAAATAAGCAATATACAAAAATTTTATACATATTTAGATAAAATATTTTGAAGAGTGCATCTCTCTTTTCTGCGTTTTTTTTAATATCGAGAAAAATAGACAATTTCAGCAAAAATGATTCTTATTGAATTAAATCTCATTGAATTCATTTCGTTAACGTAAATTTATTTCATTTACGTAAAATTAAAAAAAAATATTCTTGATAAGCGAAACAATCTCATTAATTTGTTAAAAGATTCGTCACACAAGCCAAGTAACTGTATTATTTCTGGGACATCCGATATCGTCACGAGTAACATTGTTACGTAATTAATAGTAGTCGAGCGAATTATGTACAAACGCGAAGTCAAATCTCTCGCAAACTTGAAGGGGAACTTTACGCGACTCGAGCATTTTCGTAAATTACGAGGATCTCGTCGTCGATAGACGAGCGAGTATAAACCGCGTGGCCAAGAGTCTCGCTCGCACTGTTGATTCCAGTGTATATTCGTCTCTCCATACCGTCGGGGCGCGAGCAAATGGCGCTCATTTGTAGCGATAGGGATCGCACGGCATCTCGCAAAAAGCGCGGGGCTTAACGACCGAGATGCGCCTATGCGATATCCGGTTACAGATCCGTCAGTGATATCGAGCGTGGCTCGATGCGTCTACCGGAATTAAAAATGTATTACGCAAGGTGTCGTTCGCCCGCGGCCCATTTGATCGACGACTGTTCGCGTCACGGAAACGAGCGTCGCGTCGCTTTAAATTAAAATGGCAAATATGTAATAAATATTTGTGTACACTTTTGTATACAATATACTTCCCATACTTTCTCTATTTATTAAACTACAAATATTTCTTCAAATTTGAAAAAAAATTATCTTTCCGAGACCTGCAAATTTTTCGCATAATATTCTTTGATAATTCTCTGCAAAAGGACGTTAACGCAATAAAATATTGAAGATCTTTAAAAGAACATCGAAGCGAGCTATATCAGCGATAAATTCAAAGCGACCAACCGGGAACTTATTCGCGTCTAATTACTCCGGATACATTCTAGCGTAAAAGATTGCTGCTATTTGTAACGATATATATTTTTCTAGCGATAGAACGATTTTGTAAGATCGTGCAAGATTTGCTTTCACGTCGATTCCTAGAAGCCGCCGATTCCTAGCTTCTCATCTGCGGGAGAAGAGCGGGCGGCGCACCAAAGCGGGAGCCTATAATTAGCGAGCTGACGCTAGTGGTTTTGTAAAACGTACTTTCTGGTAATTACCTGTTCGACGATATCGCGCCGTGTAACATTGCACCTCTTTGTACATATCGTCCGATTTATCGCCGGCGGACGTGTCTTAGATTGATGCGCCGCGCGCCGGTTGTTCGCGCGATGCATAATGCAAGGATGCGCCGCGTTACGAGTGCTTTGCGGTTGTCGTTCCGCACGACGTAAGTGCATTGTCCTACGTCCGAGTGTATCGTATATTTTAATGCGAAACTCGAAGAAACCGTCAGCGCTGCTTAAGATGCGAGCGGAGTCGGGCAATTATTTCTCTTTATTGCCGTTTTCGTTATGTAAGAAAAAAGACGAGCGTATTTTTTCGCGCTTTTTGTTAAGAGAAGCGTTTCCGCGACTGTAATGGATGTACTATCCCTTTTCATAAATAATCATTTGTAACGATCGAGTAATTAGCAGGCGGACAGAACGCCTGGCATTTATTTCGTATTATGCAGCCGTGCAACTTTGCACGATATCGTTCATAATAATAGCGAGTCGATCATTTTTTCAGAAACTTGCTG